GTGATTTCAGTGAAGCGTACACCAACGACAACTTTGGCCGGCTCGCAGGTCGGCTTATATCCCCCGAGAAACCGCCACCCAAAACACACCCCTACTTCCCTATAGGTTATTTACAGTGGCCGAGAGTCCCATAGGCTCTCGGCCGGGAACCTAGCCCCGATTGGAGCGGGCTAGGATCTGCATAGTCCATTGTCTCTTGGAGCAAAGCTCGACGTTTGTCTCTGAACTTGTCTGGACTGGATACATTACACCAGCTGTAATATTTCTGGTCTCCATGGGAATTATTTGGACTCTCCTTTCCTGGAGGAATGTGCGCCTTACAGAAATGAATCTCTCAACTGCATCCGGAACTACATCACTCCACCTTCCTCTCCTTGCAGTACGAAGATCACACCGTCATGGCTGACCCCGCCCATCATATAGTGTCGCTTTATTTTCTTTTTATTGCTGCTGGGAGTAGAAGTGTCTCTGCCCAGTGGCAGGCAGACCAGAGATGGATGGAAGCATGTCCCAAAGCAAAGGGGAAGCTAGAGTATCAGACTAGGATCTGGGAGACCCAGGTTCAAATTCTCACGCTGTCATGGAAGCTCGCTGGGTGACCTTGCTTCAGTGACTCTCTACCTCACAGGGTTAACAATTCTCCTTAGACCCGTTTTGTAGAAGTATTGTAGAAGCATTGTCAACACAGAAAGAACAACATGTTAATGGGGGTGACTGGATTTGGAAAACTGGTCTGAGGAGAATTGTTACATTATCTTTCGATTTCACAGCTAGAAGAGTATCAGCTATCTGAGGAAGCAGGAAGCGAACGCGGCACTGAAACTGGCCATGTGTAGCTCCTACTCCCTTAACGTGGAACTTTTGTTTTCCTGTGGAACTTACACTTTTTTGAAGTGTCTGCTCTCCTGAAGCATCTTATACAGAAGATTGGTGTCCTTTATTTGGAAATTGTCTTTTGTATTAAGTATTGTTGGATCCTAACTATTGTGTAGTGGGTTTGTCGCATGGACGAAAGACAAAGACTGGCATAGTGCAAAGCACGCTTTATTAGCACACAACAAGACTACTGACTAACGGCCGGCAGGCCAATTATATACACTCCAGGGACACACCCCTGGACCCCGTTGGTGGGTTTGAATCTCCCGCCACGGTGCCCAATGGTTCCCCAGTGGAGGGACTAGGAGCCTAGTCCCTATTGTTCTCCCAGAGTCAAGCTCTGGCTGTTCGCTGGCCCCCGGTGGTGGTCAGCATACACAACACTAACCCTTTAAGAAATTATAAGAGTGTTTGCATTGGAGAAATAGTTGAACTGTTAAGAACTGTTAAAATTGTCCTGGATAATATATTCTTTCCACTTCTGTTCGTAAGTTATTCACGGAGTGTTTGTGTTTTGATACAACCTCCAGGTGGTGGCTGGAGACCTCCTAGGATCACAACTGATCTCCAGGCAACAGAGATCAGTTCCCCTGGAGAAAATGGCCACTTTGGAAGTTGGACTCTATGGCCATTAGACCCCACTGAGGTCTCTCCCCTCCTCCCACCCTCCTCAGGCTCCACCCCCCAAAATCTCCAGGTATTTCCCAACCCAGAGCTGGCAACCCTCACCTGAACCTCACAGCTGTCCCTCATTGGTAGCGGCCAAGTTGGTGGCCAGCAACACCTCTCCCTTAGGAACCACAAGCCGCATGAGTTTTGCAGGTGTCACTGTTGTTCATAAGCCACAATGCAGCAGAAAGCTTACTAGAACACTGCCAACTTTAGCAGAGGTCCCCTGTTGTTGTTGTTGTTCAGTCGCACAGTCGAGTCCGACTCTCCGCGACCCCATGGACCAGATCACGCCAGGCCTTCCTGTCTTCCGCTGTCCTCTGAAGTTGGCTCAATTTCATGTTCGTTGCATCTATGACACTGTCTAACCATCTCATCCTTTGCCGTCCCCGTCTTCTTTGACCTTCAATCTTTCCCAGCATCACGGTCTTCTCCAGTGAGGTCCCCTGTACCTATGGGCATTAGAAGTACCCGTTTCCAAACGCTGATGCCCCAAAATTTTCCTTGAAATGAGTCCTGTTTTCCCAGCTGTTCATCCACCATCAGGTACCTGCACCCAGTCCCATTGTACCACTTGTCCACATTGGTATTTGGCTTTTTTGATGAACAGAGTTTGGCACCGAACCACTGAACCCTTCTCTATAGCTCTGTGACACAGGTGAGGGTCTCTGGCAGAAGGATGGGAGACTTGCTTTGGCCATCTGTGCACTATTCAGGCCTCCCCCCAAGTCACATTCCTGAGGCAGACTTGGTTTCAAACCATCGCCCACGTTCCCATCTCCAGCCTGCTCCCTGCATTCTTTTGTCATTTGGGGAGGGGGAGTGGCATTTGGAGAAATGAAAAGTTCTCCTGGGTCATCACCTCTTGCCGTCAGCAAGAATTCTAATTAAAGTCTTTTGGCCAAGCAAATAAGAAATTGTCGTTCCTTTTTGTGAACTGGAATGGCTATCGGTTTGGAAGGGTCCGTCAGTCCTGCTGTCCCAAGGACAATTGAATGAATACGGTCAACTGTTGTCCAACTTCGTTTTAACCATCTTCAGAGATGAAAATTTCCTGCTGCGTAGGGTTGACAATTTCTGGCTGGGAAATACCTGGAGATTTTGGGGCGTGGAGCTTGGGAAGGGCAAAGTTTGGGGAAGGGCAGGACCTCAGTGGGGCATAATGCCAGAGTCCACCCTCCAAAGCAGCCATTTTCTCCAGGGGAAATGGTCTTTATGGCCTGGAGATGAGTTCTAATTCTGGGAGGTCTCCAGGCCCCACCTGGATGTTGGCAACCTTACTATTGCAGAGATCTTCAGACTGCTCCCACCGGGTCATAAGCCCTTCTAGAACCACTGGGTTGGATCCAGAGTAAATTTTCCAAATGCAGAAGAGAACGTTCCTGATCTCTACGCAATGATGCTCCAGGGTGATAAGAGGACGCAGGGGAACAACATGCAGTGGGAGGGAGGAAAGGTCAAGGATTGGC